ATGTATGCTATACGAAGTTATTACGGTAATTAACGACTCCAAACCACCTCTACTGTGTGTGTGTGTGTGGGGGGGGGTGTATGTGTGTGTGTGTGTGCAAGACCGTCGCGGGCCCTCCGCTACTGCGAAATCTCAATGTTTAAATGATCATAACTCTGCGAAAAAAAATCGTAGAGACTTCGGCGACATCGCGTTGTTCTCATCTCGAAAAGCTCTTTCAAACGAACCCTTACTCGACCCCACATTCCATTTAAAATTTTCTCGCCTTCCTTCCCCCCGCCACCCGGGGGTGTCAAAATGGGCGTTTTTGGTGTTATGTGATAGATTGTGTGATACCATTGTAATCTTGTAAATTTCAATCCGATATCTCAAACCGTTTAGAAGTTATTTAAATGTCCTGGTACTTTTTCCTCACCCTGTATAATCGATTCTTTTCATTATTTTACATTAAAAATGTAACGGTGCAGTCCGCAAGCTGCATCGTTACGGCTACGGACCGTCCATCGTCCGTAGCCCACCAAGGGCGCATCGAGCACCGATAAACTTCTTATCAAAACAACGGCGATCAATCGCCAAAAATCCCCCACACCCGCCGTTCCGAAATTCCGTTTTGTGGGGGACTCGCCGCCGAAACCGCCGATGCTTGCCGATTCGAAGCCATTCGGCTGCCAGCCGGGTATAAAAGAGGCCCGGCTGTACGTCTTCTCACTAGATCCTGTTCGCTGTTAGCCAGCGAACAATCCTGCTGCGAGCGTTCTCGTAGTCCGACCGAGAGTACTCGGATTCTATGCCTTATTTCAGGTATACGAGCGTTCTCGATACCGTTTCTATCTCCGATACGAGCGTTTTCGTATACCCGTCGAGCGTACTCGGCTCCTCCGGGCATCGATCTTCGTATACAGGGCATTCCCTCATACTTAGTCAAGTCGCCGCTCTAAATCCGCCTTCGTACGAGTGTTCTCGTACGTCCGCCGACCAGATTCGGCCTCAAAGCCTCTAGTGCGAGCGTTCTCGTACTCCCGTCGAGCGTACTCGACGACCTGTTCCTAATCTCGCGTTACCGCGCACCGGGATTCATCCGCAGAATCCATCCGGCGGGCAAACTACGTCGATCAATCCGCGCCGTCAAGCGACCCGTCACGATCTACGATCGAACGGACTCGCGATACCGTCACGAACGCACTCACCGACGAGCGTTGCGTTGTACCAACCGTTGCGACACGATCGTCCGCGCTCTCACCGATCGCACCGAGACGCCTCACGTCGAACTTTAATAATTCG